AAACCTACTGTACAAAACTTTATAGGTAATGTTTCTTGTCTCTTTTTTAAAAAAGAATTTATAATGTTTATATTTTCTTTAATAACTATAAATAATTTGTAGATAGAGCTTGTAATCCACAATTAGTAGAACCAGATTTAGCTTTAAATTTGGAAATAGCAGATTTGATTAATCAGAAAAAACAAAATTAGTAAGCTTCATCAAAGTTATTAATCAGTCAACCAATTAATCGATTAATCAATTAAGTGGTTGGATAGATAGTTATTAACTCGCAATTAATACTCTTTTTTTTTTTTTCCTGATCAAAAAATCTTTTCTAAAAGTCCACGAGATGCTGCCATGCATATAGTCAGACTTGTGAATCATCGGCATCCGACTGCAGCCATGTTGGCTTTGATGGTATTTATAATTTATGTAATTATATAAAGTTGTTTATTTATATAACAATCTTTATTTACTATTGTTGTTTTTGTTAGCTTTTGGATATTTGTGTGAAAAATTGTGGGTATCCTTTCCATCTACAAATAGCAACCAAAGAATTTCTGAACCAACTAGTTCGTAAATTTCCTGAAAAATCACCTGTAAGAAAAAAATATTATATATTTATTTATATATATCGCCAATGTTGTATTGAGTTTTAAAACAATTCAGCAAATTATTATCATCATCATCAGCATCCTCATTGGCGATTCTTTCTTTAATAGGCTATTCCTAATCCAATACAATTAAAAATATTGGAATTTATTCAAGAATGGAAAATCACAATTTGCACAACTTCTCGATATAAAGATGACCTCGTCCATATCAATGATATGTATCGTTTATTAGTATATAAAGGTATATATATAATCTTGTAGTGAAAAACACACACACATAGTTCAAATTTAGTCATCAATCAATTTGTAACATGTAGGCTACATATTTCCTGAGGTTGATAATCGATCTGCATCTGTTCTTATCCCTAAGGAGGTGACTTCAATATGATTTTCTTTCAATTATTTTGATTATAAAAATTACTCAATAATATAAAAATATGTATATTATACAGACATTGAAATCACCTGAAGAATTAGAGGAAGAAGACAGAGTTGCTCAAGCAGCGGTAGAGTAATCTATGTGAACATTCATTAGTACAGTTAACTTATAATTAATTACTTAAATGTCATTTAGAAATTACAAGAATTAATTCGTAGAGGTAGACCTGCAGATCTAGCAGAGGCTAATGAACTTATGAAAATTATGTCAGGATATGTAAGAAAGATATATTATTATCTAGTTATTTTATATATGTGTGCGTGTGTGTATGTTAGAATTTGTATAAATCATAATAATATTATTATTAAATAATGTTTAGAATCAAGAGGCAAAACCAGATTATAAAAAACAGGTCAATGAAGAGCTGGAGAACATACAACATAAAGCTATACTTTTAAATGATATGTTAAATAATGTCAAACCCAATGAAAAAATTGGTAGAGGCGATATATTCGAGGTGAAATAAAGATTATTTATTTGTTTGATTTATTTTTTTTTTTTTTTTGGCTTGTTAATGATTGGATTATATTTTATAATGTGGGGATTTATAGAATTATGGTAAACTTTCGAACCGGAAATTGAAAAAAACGTTTTCGAAGAGGAAG